TTCGAAAGGCTTGAAGTTTTCAAAGCGGCGTGCAGGCCTTGCTGACGATCGGCGGCATCACGCGTCGTTACATTGTAATACGTTCACGCCGCGCGCTCGACTTCAGAGACCGAGAGCGGCGCACAACATTGTTGCAGCGGGTTCCTGATCGAGATTCGCCGCTCGTCGATATCTCCACGTGGAAAAGTCGTAGCGACGTGAAACAAATTGCATTCGAAAGCTGAGATTGCTTCGCTCCTAACAAGTAGGCGTTCACTTTTCAATTTCATCGGTTAATTTACCGACTCATTGAAAACGATATACGTTGAAACATCAATCAACTTTCTCTCGAGTTGAAAATTAATTCTGACAGTAACATGTTAGGTTTACGAGGTTTACGCGCGTTTTTCTGCACCCTCCTTTCTTTATATTTTATGTAAGACGCTATATTTCGCTCCTATTTCCCTATTATTCAGTTGGCTTTCAACTTTTGTGAGAGAAGTATCAGCCCCCGTAAACAATTTCTCGCCATTTTATTTCAACGTACAAAGTCTCTAAGATCTAGGATCTGAGGTAGCACATATTAATTTCATATATATTCATATAAATCATTCATACGTTCTTTAAACGCATGTAACGCTTCATAATCGTATTATATACACGGAAAAAAAATTTGGTTGTATCAAGCAGAAAGGAAACAACCAGATGCGTTTTGAAGGAAATAAAATTTCTGATTATAAGAATCACATTTGGATCATAAAAACTAGAAATTCTGTTTTCTTTAACCAAAACGCATCTGATTGTTTCCTTTCTGGTTAATATAATCAGATATTTTTTCCTGTTTAAAGAATGCACGTGAAACTGACTGTGCTACCTAAAATATTGGTTGAATATAAATTCTTAAAGGCTGGGGAAGCCTATGATATTATTTTGGGGTTGGTCAGTAATAAGTTTTACAGGTCTTTGGCATTCGTAGCTTATTTTTAGAAGATTTGCAAGGATTTTTTTTCTTTTTTGTTAGGCTTAGTAACGACGAACCCTTAATAGGAAGTTTTTATGTTAAAATAAAGTTTTACGGAAACCGTTCAATTTTATAAAGAAAATTTATATATCATCAGCCTGAAAACTGAGATCCATCATTCAATGAGATAATTGGATTCCTGACGACAGATAATCTACAAAGACAATAAATAAAAATTAATAATGAACTTAATAAATGTAAGCAATTCATGAAAAACTAAAAACGCGAAAAATCACGATTTTCACCATTCATTTCGTGATATAAGCCTGAGGGATCTCAACGTTATTTCAACGTTAAGATTGCTGTTGTTACTATCAGAGTTAATACATGATCAGAAATACTGACTCTGTTGCAACATCTGGATATACCTTGTAAAAGCGGTAACTTTTATTACTCTCGTAAACGAAACACTTGAAAAATATTCCAAGTAGCGATATTAAGATAATTTACCTTACAGCGTGAAAACTTCTAACTAACGGCCACTCAGCAGCTAAGTTTCTGTCCGGACGAAGATAAAAAGAGATGAAGATACATTTTGACGATGTGGAGAGAAAGGCAAATAAGACGGTGGAAATATATCAAGGTAGACAGTTTCGAGTTCGCGGAGCAGCACGAGGCAGTTCCGCGACGAAGCGGTTAAGCACGTGGATATTGTTGGCGTTTGAAGCGTGTAATTCAAGCGACAATGCGATCCTTTTTGAGTCATAGCGAGAGCGCATATAACTCACAGCTTTCCGGTACGCCCTTTTGTCAAGATCATCGCCGTTCAGAGGAGAGAACGTGCTGCTTTCTATAGATAACGCTGACGTCTGCAGATAATCCCGTGTTGAATGCCCCCGTCGTCATTCGACATGGGAAAGCGCGAGCGAGTCTACTCTACTTGCCCTCTTGAAGATTTTCTTTCCTTCGAGAGCGTGCCTCAAGTACTGTTGTGCTGTTATACGCGGTATTATGCAATATTTATCTTGAACGTTACAATGAGAACCTTTCGGCAAGCGACAAAATCGCGAGACCGACATTTATTCCTCGGGTTGACGCATGAGCGCTCAACTATAGTAATTCTAAACGCTATTCTATACGCGCGCAATATTTGATAATCAGGCGCGGTAATGCAATAACAATAATTTTATTATTTATTAAGAAAGGTACCAAAACTAATACAGGTATGATAAACTGACATACTAACTCTATCGGACAAAACACGAATTTTATCTACCATGCACAGTAGTTGGAGCCGAAGTGGCAGTTTTTGCTTGCGAGCACGTTCGGTTGTGTTATTAGCGTCGTTCGATTTTTCGTCGTGCTGAAGTTTTGGTTGGGCTATCTTCTTGTGAAAATTAAAATAACACCGACGGTAACTAATTGCAACTTGAATTTTCAGAACATAAATCCAGTAAAATAGAATCAAATCCGACCTTATGTTCTGTTTTGCTCATTTTTCATGTAATCAATCTTCAAACATTAAAGAAATAATTATTCGCAAAGAAATACGTAATAATAATTTTTGTAAGACTTGTCATATATTTTGATAGAGAAATGTTGCTGGTTTGCATCCATGCACATAAATTTTAATTTTATATTTTCAACAGGGTTTTAGTCCGAAAACAAAATGGTATTTTGATTTTGGTGCTCTTTCCTCTACACATAATTTGAGTAACACTCGCGATTTTCGTCGGACACGTAATGCCAGCGACTTGTATTCGTACTCGACGCAATAATTGCATACGTTGCAGACACAATAACCAACACGGATGATAGATCCATTTTTGCGATCGTATGCGCGTAGACGCTCGACAGGACGCGCGGTGCAAACGAAAGACCGTACGTCAAAGCCTTTGATTTTCCGCAGATTTGCTGAATCGTCCCGCGAAATCTGAATTTTTATATGAAGGCAAAAGTGAAAGAGGGCGAAATCACCCTGTCAAAGGCAAGCATATTCGTCGGCGGAACCGTATGATTTATATTGAAATAACACCGTCAGGTAAACGAACAGATTGACGGATAAGCCGACGTTGCGAGTGTGCGTTCGGGCACGTGTGCGCGCCTATACATCTCGTCGCGGGGCTGTGTGCGCGAAAGATATATCCACGCGAAAGAGTGGCTTGGCAATGTTCGAGCCGGCCGAAATAGCTCCGGGATTGCCTTGAAAGGATCATCCTTATTTGGAAGTTGGATGAAGACCTCGTGCTTCAGGTCGCGCCGCGGAGAATGACCCGAGATCCTCGAGTTTGGCATTGATAAGCCGCAATCGAGCCCAATGGAAGACGGATTTACAGCGGATCCGAAGTGACATGTTTAAAGATGTGACTCGATTTATTTCGACAGGAAAACGGCCGAAAACCGAGCTAAGTTTTCGTGAACCAATTCGACGAGACGTTCGTGAAATATGCACAGTGTATACGCAAGGGGTAGCTCAAGGTTCCGTTTCTCGCAATTCCCGTACAAAATTAACAATAATCGAGTGTTAATTGCAACATGATATTAAACAATATTCTTTTTCAAACCGTTTATTCCGCAATTTATTTGCACACGTTGAGCAATCGAAAGTAAAATTTGCGTGCATCGTCGATACGATATAAGTAATTTTGTCGAAGTATATTCGCGTTAGTTTAGCTCGAGGTGTTCCGGTTAGTATCAGGGTAACTTTCATCAAAGTATCCGATGAAGCTAATCGACGATTGAAAATTGCTATCAGTCAAGTGTTGCCTGCTCTGTCTTGCTAACACAGATAGAAATTGTGAGTTTTTCGGTTATCGTTAAACAAGTTGTAGAACTGGAAATTCTGGAAATACTGAAAATTTTATTATTGGAGAGAAAGCACCAAAATTGACCTAGGTAAACCGACATGCTGAACTCCATTGGACGAAACATGAGTTTTGTTTACTGTGTGTAGTTAGACAGTTAGTTGGAACTGAAATGGCAGTCTGTTTGCAAGCGCATTAGATTGTTATTAGCGTTTGATTTATCGCTATGCTGAAATTCTTATTGAACTATCTTCTAGTAAAAATCAAAGTAACAAATCAACGGTAACGAATTTACTTGACAACACTATTTTATAGTGTAAATTTTGAACCTTTTAAATCACTTTAGATTTTGTGACAATCTCTATTTTTTTGTCGCCGAATTAATTGCTTTTATCGCTTAATTGCCGTTGATTTTTTTGCGATTGGAAATCTAGAAACTTCGTATCTTTATATCATAAATTTTAATTTTACACTTTCGACAGTATCCTTCGATACAGCCCAAAATGGTATGTTGGTCTTGATGTTATTCATCGATTGGTTTGATCAGAGTTCGGTAGGAGTCACTCTTAGTTCGAGTATTGTGACGCATTACCGAACGGTCTGTCGGCAAAGAAACCAACCCGAAGAGACGTTCCTTCGGATATATCGAAGCTGTCTAAGCTCTTTACGGACGAGTAGCAATGGCATTCCTATTGCATGTAAATTTCTCCATACGACTGTACGCGCGTAGACGCGCACATGAACGCGACGAAACGGAGCTGAGCGCTGCGACTGCAGATACAACCTGACTGTTAGTTTAGCTCAGTTTAATTTAGTTTAGTTTAGTTTAGTCAATAGTTCAGCGGCCGTTATTGTACTCCGCGCGCGCCCATGGCAGCGAGAACGCGCCGAAGGACCACCCCCATCATTTGCATACCGGGTGTGCCCGCGTAAATACGACTCGGAAAACTCTGCTCTTGGCACATCAAAGGGACGAGACGCGAATTAACCCTCGCGTTACCATCGCCCGCAAACAGAACCGGCGAAATATCGGCTTTGTGTGCGCGCCGGCTTCATTGTTGCGCGTTAAACGCGCCGCCGAGAGGACGCGTCTTGGCGCGCGCTGATAAAACGGCGCCGTTGTTGCTGGTTCCTTGGAAGGCCTTGCGAGTCTCTTGAAGTGAACAAAGGGCGATATATAGCATTCTCGGCGAAACAGAGCAGATTTGATGGGCGGCTGACGAAAAAGGGCGCGACGTATATTTGCGTATATCGAGTATTTTTCCATGTAATTTATTACAGCTGCTACGCTCTTTTATTAACTTAACCGTCGATGTACATGATGCATCTCTCAGCAGTTCACGGTTTGTTGCTTTGCAAAAAAATCACATATAAAATAGTCCGAGCTTTGCAGTGTTACATACGTATTTGCATATACATGCATATACCATATGGTACACATATATGTGTGTGTGTGTGTTTTCTCTAACGTATTCAGACAAAGGCTCTCATTGCCGTGAGTCTTACGCGTGGCTCAAGGAACAGTGCAAAGTAATTCACACGACACGTGGTAAGGTGTTATTTACTAAGATAACAATTGAAATGTAAATACCATGTATATTTCGCGATTCAATATCAATATTATCTACAATAGAAATCTCAATGCTTCTGTTGTGACGGTATGTAAAGTAAATGAAAACGATTGGAGGATCCTTTGCGTTGGTCGACTTGTCAAGTATAAAATTAACGAGTAGTAGAGTAGAATGCGTGCAAAAAATAATGATAGCTTGAATCATGTATGTGTTCTACTGTATAATATCTCATAGCCCATATATATATCGAGGTCTATATAAAATGTGAATAATATAATATAGGTAATGTAATGTAATGTATTAGAAAGTAGAATAAAATAGGATGTAAAACGAATAGAAGCGAAAGTAGTTTAAGAATAGGATAGAGATATGAGATATTTCCAGAAGAGAAACTGTAAGTTTTATTAAACAAGTAATAATTTAAGGCAATGGTATGTTATTTAAATAAGTATAATTTCTGTGATAAGAAGGTGGGTTATGTAATAATGTTTTTCGTTGTTTTTAGTTATTTAGTTGCTGTTTAGTTTTCTGATAGTTTTGATTGAATATAAGTAGAAAGTACATAAAGGGCGGAAATGTGTGGAAGAATGAATTTTAGAACAAATATTAACCAAGTCCTTTCCTGGCAATATAAGCTGATGTAATAATAAATCTAATATATCGAGGTCTATTATAGATATTATCGCTCGACCGAAAGTACGATGGATTAAGAGTTATGGAGAATTTTGTTGAAAGCATTGTAGGACGTTTCTAGATCAAATATCAGTTGTCTGACTTGAGTGTCGGACAGTTCATCTGAAGCGGACATATTATCAAGGGTCTGTAACCACTCTGAGATCTTCTCTTTGCCGTCGAAGTCGCTCGGCAGTATGCTGAGGCGATTCATGGTGTCCATGAGATCCCTCAAATCTGGATGCAACTGATCCATGGCTCGAATTTCCAGGCGTAACTTATCCATAAGCGTAATAAATAAGGAGACAATGTCTGCGATGCATTTGGAAGTGTTGCCTTTGTCATCCTTTATTGTGATTGGTCTGTCTTCCTTGATTCTCTCGAGGGCGGCTGGACAATCTAAGCGGAATGCTCTGGTGAAAGAATCAATTGTTGGAAATTGATCACTCTGTACCTATAATGATGAACAGTTGATTGTTAGAGAACAATACTCTCGTAAATGAAGAATATTTTTAGAAAGTGTGCCCAGAAAAAAATTAGTCTTAAATCAGGAATATATATTTTCATATATAAGCAAGAATATTACAATCTTAGATTTTCAGTTTTGATTTGATTAAATTTGTACTGACGCAAATATTATTTGAACTCAATTGGAGACTAAAAATTTTATAAGAAAATTATAATATTCTTCTTTATATATGAGAATATTTATTCTTGATTTAAAGCTATTACTTTTATGCAGAATGTATCTAACTAAATCGATATCTAAAACAAAAGAGCAAAACAAATTTGCCATGAGGATACTGAAAATATATTTGATTTTGAATCATGTTTCACATATTTGGAAGTAAAGAAAAATAGCCAAAATGATTTTTCACCTCATCTTACCAACAAAGGGTTAATTCTTGCTTCATATTCTCGACACTCACCTGCTTGAATGCTGCTCTATATTGCACTAACAATTTGCTGCACGCAGCTGTGTATTCTTTCGGTGTAACGCAATCTCTGATATAAGCCTTCTCCAAATGCTGCAATGTATTTACCACAGCATACAAATCCGCTTGATTATCGTGCTTTTCTCTCTCACGGGCGTTTTTGTAAAGCTTCACTTCCTCGTATAATTCGGGTCGATCTTGAGTTACCGACATTATTTATCGGAACTATAAAAAATCGATTTCAATGACATTTGCTTCTTAGGTTATGCACAATAGTGATAATTACACTTATTTGCTGTAAAAATATCTGTTACTCTCGCCAAGTAAATCTCTCGTCAAGGATACGCAAAGTAGGCTTAATGAATCTTCGTAAATTAGGTATTTAGTTGATGACACACCTACTATCAAGTGGGACACGTCAACGATAAAAGTATCCTAAGATAGCATTATATGTTACTCACTTTTGTGCAATATAGATTACCGATTTTAGTCGTTTATCTACGACGTTGTGATTTTCACAATGAAGTATTATAACGTTAAAAACAAATGCAGATCAACCCAGAATCAAGTAACCTTCTACAAGATACGAAGAAAAACACTGACAAATTGTGTGAGATACAGAGCCATCTCTTGACCTGAAATTACACTCTCGTAAGTTGCGACTGAATGAGTCGTCTAGCGCCATTTAACGGTGACACGAAGAAACTTATGATACCTGCGGGTTTGAATCTTGATTAAATATATCCGTATCGGGGAAATAGACCCGTTATTTTCTATTAATTCCGAATTCTCCGCTAAGAGTCGCCACTATTTTTAAAGGAAAATTCAAAATCGGGACAATTGCCTAATAGAAATTTGGAGTTTTTCGGCCTACAAGAAGAAAATTCGAATTTCGTATTCAATATGAAAATCCATTCAATAGTTATCCACTTCAATAGTTATCAAGAAATACATTTTCCTGTTGGATACAAAGTACGTTGCTAAATTCACCGAAAGAAAAGTGTTGCAGCTTTTGTTGTGTCGACTGTACCGTATTTTAAGCAGAAGTGTGCCAAAGAAAACGAGGAGGAAATTTTTAGCACAGCTAATAATGAAAACAGCTCTAATTTTTAAAGAATACCACAGAACAAAATGAAAGCCATGGTTTCAAGGTTTCATGCTTCTAAGAAAAACCATTGTAAAGCTAAATAAAATTAAGAGTGAACATACCTCATTGAAAATTAGTTCAGTCAAACTAAAAGGATATTTTTTTCTTTAATCATGGTTTCTTTTTATTATGTAAGATTACACAAATTTGTGCGAACAAAAAAGGGCTGTAAACAGTATCGACAGACCAGACTTTCTTTTTATTAATTATTTATTCCTAGATCGCACAATGACCTAAAACATGATTTGCTACGAAAACCAACTTTGTTACATTATTAAAAAATTTTTACAAATTTCTTCTCAAAAATATAATTTTATTTTGCGAATATCTTTTTCGCAGATAATACAGTCTTAAAAGCAAAACTTCCGTTTATTAAATATATAATTTGTCGTGTATCAACGATAACATTATAAATGTTAATTTTTCTTATAATATATTGTTTCCTTATGTCGTAGTATTACGCAATAAAAACGTGAGTTCTTTTTTTAATTTATACTTGGAATAGTAAACAGCTATTTATTCAATTGCAGTTACACTTTTATCATTTGTATCACTATGTCTGCAGCAATGTTAAATTAAAAATAATATCAACTCACATACATATACATACATATATATATATATATATATATAAATATATATTCAAACTCCCAATCACTTTCTGCAATCAGATTATCACAGTTATAGCCTGTATTTTTAGGTAATAATGAAAACAAAGGTAAGTTCTATTTTTCAAAGAATACTACAAAACAAAATCAAAGCCATGGTTTCAGAGATTTCATGTTTTTAGAAAAACCATTGTAATGCTAAATAGAATTAAGAGTGGACATACCTCGTTGAACAGCAATTTAGCCAAACTAAACGGATATTTTTTCTTCACTCATGATTTCTTTTTAGCCTGTACAAAATTGTAAATCAGGACACGATTTAAGAGACATAATATAAAAATATTTTCATTACGAGAGTCTAATTGCACTTTATAAAAACTGAAATATTATGAAGTTTATAACACATGAACCGTACGAATTAAAAGTGCTGTAGAATTGCGATTTACGTGAGTAGAGTACACGTGAGCAAAAACCGTTAAAATATAATAATCTTTGGAAGTGTACCAAAAATACATATTAAAAGTCAAATATTCGTTGCATCACATCGGGCTTGTCGGCACTAGGCCTTCTCGAACAAAATGGTAATTCTCTCTCCTCCTCTATACAGGGACAATTGAACTCTTTGACAACTCGTCTCTCGCGTCTACGCGAGTTATCCTTGTCAGAATCCAGATTAGGTATCTCTTGACTTTGACTTATGCTTATGTATATTGCTTCTAGAGTGAGATCGACCTTATCTAAGACGTCCCAAGGTGGGTGAACGTTTATCACAACTGGCGAAACCATTTTCAGAGTACCTACTATATCACAGACTAGCATAATTGTCAGATCTCTGCGCGAGGTTCTCCTCGGTGGAATCTGGACTTCGGCTTCTTCGATTTCTACGTCACTTTGCAAAAGATTAAAGCGATCCTCGATCAGGGTCGCCCTCAGGAACTGATTACCGAACCGCATCGAACAATCATGCACGAACACGCGGATAAATTGCGCTGACGCAGCGTCATGCTTCTTGTTCATACGATGACGCCAAATACGGATGCTGGATATTTGCGTGTTAATCAAAGACTGTAACTTGGCAACCATGCTTCCCCTGTAACGAAAACACGACATCAGACGTTGCAAGTTGCATCATAATTGCTGCGAAGCTGTATCACTTCACATAGTACAAAAGCTTATGTTAATATAGTCACAATGTCACAACAATATTGTTGCAAGCTTCTGTGCTGTATGAAACGGTTCTTAGACTTACTTTTTAGGCTTCTGGTGTTTCTTTCCAGAATCCAAAAGACGCGCATACATAGTTTTGTCCGGAGATACTTTCGACGGAGTACTTATCGTACTAATAACAGGAGTCTGCGTCGATTTGCTGCTTGTGACCTCTTTAGTCAGAGATGGCACCAGGGAGATCTTCGTGGATAGATGCGTACTGTAATTTTGTATAATTTCTGCTTCGGAACAATAAGTTTCATCTAAGTCATTGGAAATCATTTGTGAGGACTTTGATCGAGAGATAAATAAAGATTTAGCTGACAACTGGGATGTCCTGACGACTGGTAACATATCCTGTGTATCGACTTCTTCTATGCAATTATTCAGACTACTGGTACTGCCATTTAAAAGCTTGCTACATTCTTCTTTGTCTCTGTTTTCATCACTCGTATCTGTTTCTATTCTTGCATTAATCTTGTTAAAACTCGAGCTATCTCCAGAACCTGTTTGTTGTGTCTGTGATAAAAGTATCCCTGTGCACATTTGTGACTCTTTTGGACTTTCTTCTGTTTCGATTTGTAAATTAGTTTCTTTAACACTGCTATCTGAATCTTCTTCCAACTCATTGTGATCCACAGTCTTCTCACTCACAGTATCATAATTATTATCGAGCTCTACTTTGTGCACAGTTTTATCGTCATGTAACTTTGAATGTTTCGAGAAGACATAGTCATCTGTGCCATACCATAATTTTTTTCGTCTTCTCTTGTAAGAATACAAACCTGCGCCAAGGACAGGAGATTCACTAGCAATCACCTCTGTACAAGGCGGTGTGTAGTGTATCTTATGTAAGTATTCTTGTTCGTTCCGATTCTCTTCTTTACTTCCAATATCAGGTTGTATCGTGCAGCTTGCAGAATACTGTGCATTCTGTCCCTGGCTACCTGTGTCACCCATGCTTCTCACCACAGCATGTCTGTTTATGCGAGTTTCTTTCCTACGTCGTTTTCTACTGTTACTGCCCAGCACCGGCGACGTCTCGTAGGTTTTAGTCGCCGACTTCCCTAAAACCGGGGACGATTGCAAACTATCGCTCGGATCGGACCCGCCATCTTCGTGAGTTTCGATCCACTTGCGCACGTAGTCCTTCTTCTTGGTGCACGGTATGCCGGCCACACTCCGCTCGATCACAACAGCATGATCCGACGTCGCGAAGCAGCCAAGCTGGTCCGCGACGTCGAGCTCGAGGATCGATTGTCCGAAATTCAAGCACTTCACGTGACGCGGCTTGCCGTCACGCGATGTACTTTCGGCAGAGCGTCTGTGGCTCGATCTGAAGCAATCTGACATTGAAAATAAATCCTAACGGTAAGTAGCCCGTGTTTGTTGCAAAATTGTACGACATACGTGATAACGTTCAACGTCGCACGTGCACTAAGCGCCGCCATATTGTCGTTGCCTTGACGACCAGTGCGTATCTGCGAACTGTTGCACCCTGCGTTCAAGTCACCAAATTCCCCGTGAGATATTTTCTGAAGGTGTCGTGAAATTACAATATAAACCGAAATGGCCGTGATTTTTAAGATTTTTAAAAGACTCCAAATTCTATAGTTTAAAAAACTGCTATTTTCAACTTTTCCTCGGGAAGAAATCGAAAAGATCCGTGGAAAAATTGAAAAATATGATTTCTTCCGCTTTTTTATTAATCCGCGGAAAAAAACCCGAAAAAATTATGAAAAAATTGAAGAAACAAAATTTTTTCCGAATTTTTAAAACAATGTCGAATTCTGAAACTTTGAATTTGAAGATCGATGCTCTGAATAGAGAGTTCAATGATAGAAATTTATTGATAAAATTATCAATCAAAATAATGAAAGTTGTTGAGAATAAAAGAATTTCATAGACAATGAAGGACTTTATCCGAAGGACGTCCTGGGAATGTTCTTAAGACGTCCTCTAGATGTCTTTAGGATGTTCCATGGAGGTATGTGCTGTATAGGTTTGTATTTTACGTAAATTTAATAAAAAACCGATTTTAGCATTTCGATTTTAATTTTGCCGCCAGTAATTTCATAAATAACGTTATAAGATAAAAATCTGTAGTATCACGATGCTTAGTTTGCACTTTATATTATAAATTTTGTAATTTGATGAAATATGAATTAATATTTTATCACAATGGGAGTCTCGTATCGTAAAATTATGAATCCACAAGAAGTTAATGTTCCGTTCAGAAGGAGTGAAATTGAAAAATACGTATGAGAAATTAATTTCAATCTATATCTTCTCAAATCACGTGCTACGTCCACATATTCATACTTTTATAGATTAGTTCCATATTTCCATTGTTCCCATAGTTTAGGTCCGCATTCCCATTGCAATGGCTTACTTAAATGTACAAACACGAGATTTAGCGTGATAATATATTCCATGTTCCGCGGACCTGCTTCAATAACATCCGCTGTAGCTCTGGTTTGAGTATGCGGATGTGATACTTGGACGACAGTATCTTACCCCGATACCGAGTGCTCTTATTCAAATGAAGCGACAAGGTGTTCCTTCCGACCCCATTCGACCGTGATTGATGCACGCACCCTTGCGCTCTTGCAACTTTGATAAACATGTTCAAGCAGAATATTTTTCAAAAACCACCGCGAATCCTCTAGCTTCTTTTCAATTATATTATAAGATAGAAATTATGGGAGGAAAGAATAGAAAGTTAGAAAAAGAGGAAGGAAAGATGTCACCGTCATTTATTCCGAAGAAAGTATTAGAAAATTTGTTTGCCAATTTTGGGAGAATTAGTCCGATATCAATAATGATTGACTAATTGAAACGACGAATTATTCCACCGAGTTACTCTAATATTTTGAATCCAATCTTTCTCGTTTGGCTCGAAAACCAAAAACGACGTATCCTCGTCAAGGTGCTTCTCGAGGTTCCTGCGCGCTGATGCGCACGATACTACAAGCGAGTCGTCTTTTGCGGTTGTGAAATCGAAGGATGGAGATCGGCGGGAAAGAGCGAGGGACACCGAGAGAGCAGGCGAGAAAGGGTTCAGGCCGCGGTGTGGAAATTTAAATCGGCGAGAGAGCACCGCGTTGTGCTGGCCGCGCGGGCACAATTACCGGGCGGCGAGTGCGAGGAACCCTCTTCTATATATTAATAGTCGAGATAGCCGCCTATGTCGCGTTACCGAGAGGGCCACCTCGCTTGTGACGGGGGGAGCCCAGGGGGGCAGGGGTCCCAGAGGATTGTTCAGGGAAGTGGAAGGGGTGGGAAGGGGGGCGAGAGGACTCGAGGAGAGGCTCGTACGCTCGGATCGAGGAAGATCGAGCGATCGGATCCGCAGGACGGCTGAGAGAGGAGTCCGAGGGGGCCGGAGGGGGGCCTCGAAATGATAGATACGAGGACGGGATAACGCGCGGACCCCTTGCATCCACACGGTAGCCTCAGTTCCACTTCGCGATGGAGGCTACTTGCTCCTTTTGGCAATAGGTAGTGACGCACTCTTTGTTTCTGAAGGCAGACGACAGGCAGAGGAAGAGAGGAAAGGACAAGAGTAAGAAGGGAAAAGAGAGAGAGAGAGAGAGAGAGAGAGAGAAGAGAGAGAGAGAGAGAGGAAGTACGAGGAACGGATAGGACACAGTCGGACAAGAAGGTAAAGAGAAAGGAGAGGAGAGAGGGTGAAGATCGCGCTAGAGGCGAAGAGAAAGCACGCAACAAGGGTAAGAAAGAACGAGAGACTATGAGGATGAGAGGGTGTGACTGAAAGAAAGAAGACAGCGAGCGTGTGCGTGCGTGTGTGCGCGGAGCATCGACGATAAGGAGGAATCGGTGGTGGAAGACGGCGGGGACAGATAAATCGAAAGAGAGACACGTCGTCCGGCTGGGCTTCCCGAAGAGCCCGATCCGTCCCGTATCTCGAGCACCGGGTGAGCACATCCCTCTGCGCTCGGCCCTGCGGCGAGCGCGCTTCCGGTGGCGGTGTTCGCGCGCGCGAGGGATGATGACGCGCGGTGGTGGTCTAGAGGAGCGTCGTGAAGCGCGTTACTCGCAACGAAGCCGCGCGTAATACGTACACGTCGTCATGGCAGAACGGAGGTGACCGGATGCCGGGCGGTGCAGTGATTCGATTGATTCGCTGAAGAGTGTTCGTGGCTTCCACCGAACTTCCGAGTGCCGCGTTAAGTGCGCGTACGTGTGCGTGCGTGTGCCTCACTTGCGTGTAATACATGCGTGCGTCCGTGTAACGTGCGTGCTCTCTCGTGAGCGAGTCGCTAGACGGTCAGATTCAGACTGTACACCGCAGTACACAATCAGTGGTAAGGCGCGCTTGTGTACATACGACTCGCGAGAGAAGAAAGGAAGGAAGGAAGGAAAGACGGAAAGAAGAGGGAGGAAAGAAGCAAGAGAAGCAGTCAAGTCTCGATTGGCCACCGAGCTGGTGGTCCAGCCAAGTGAGAGCATCGTCGTCGTCACCATCGTCATCAGCCCCATCTACGCGCTGTCGCATTTCAATCAGCGCAGCGCAGAGGAAGCGGCGGCCGGACGCGCGCCCGCTTCACCACGGGCCTTTCTTGGATTCCCGGGGCGGGCAGGAAATCGCAGGGTGTGATCGCGATATTGGGTAAGATCGGAGGATATTGCTCCATATCGAGACGAGAGGCACCAGAACGCGGGTGTCTCTCTTTGTCCGATTGCATAGCGAAGACGAGTGACGTCTTGGGTTGTACTTTGATTCGGAAGTTCGTGAAGTTTATTCTTCGGTCGGTTTGTGAAGAAATATGCTCCCGCCGCTGCCGGGAAACTCTTCCAGATAGCGCGAAACTTCCTTTACGTTTACTTTGGGCGGCACATCCAATCGGTTGATCGCGTCAAAGAATCGACGTCATGGTGAAGCACGTCATCCGCTACCATTTCTCTTATCTAGGCAGGGCTATTATACTATTGCTGGGATATAGATGACTACATCCTTAATTTCACGTAGATTAAAATTTTCGCCAGGTGCGAAGACGCGCGCGGCTGTTTTTCGAGATCGATTCCGATGATCGATCCGATTCAATTATTCGCAGGACTCCATAGCGCCATCACCGGCACATTTAGCGGAGAAAAGTTTATTAGATTTGTCTATGCGCAATAATAATAATGATAATATGAAAAAGTAGTTAATAAATTTAGAATCATTCAAGTAGTTAACAAATCAGAATTATTCAATATAGTTTTAATTGTTGGACATATATACAATCTGTCCAACAAACACAGCGTGGTTGATAAAATTTTTCTTTCTGCATAAAAAAAAAGCATTAAAATCGACATACCATTTTGATTTTTAGGCTCTAAAGTCTCGTTGAAAGTGTGCGATTAAAATTTATGTGCATGGATGCAAAACCAGCAATACTTTTCTATCAATGTATGATAGTCTTATGAAAATTATTACATATTTATATTGTTATTACATATTTTCTTGCAAATAACTATTTTTTAAGATATTTAAGGATTCTAGAAACTAGACCTCAAAATTGACATATCTCATGATGAGAGGAAATTATCAAAAAAATAAAATAAGAGCACTGAAATTGTATTTTTTTGTATATCCATTATATGTATCTTCATATATCTTTAATCTTATATATTAAAAAATTTTTGTTTAATTTTATGATATAAATCGTTCCTTTATTATGCGGAAAGAGATCTCCTAACTTCTTCCCGACCATCTTAAACAAACAAAACAACAAAACAGGAGAAAATCAATCACCTGTAGTTTCAGCTATATTTTGTGATATGATATTTCCCAGCAAAATTCAAATATGTCGATTAAAAGACCAATAAATTCAGATACTTTGATTCACAAATAACCCAATACTATTTTTTTTGCGTGATTCAATGACAAAGAATAGAGAATTACACAAGATCCAAAATAATTTAAAAAGGTCAAAACTTACACTATAAAATAGTATTATCAAATATATTGCTTACTACTGATTTGCAACTTTAATTTTTACAGAAAGATAACTTCACGAATATTTCAATACAACGAAAAATCAACGACGAAAATAATACAAACGAATGTGCTTGCAAAGCACAGCTACTTAAATTTCATTAACTATTGTATAAATTAAACGAAATTCATGTGCTGTCCGACAGAGTTCAGTACTATACAGCCAAGAAACATGAGTATGTCGGTTTACCATACCTATGTCAATTTTGGTGCTTTTCTTCTACAGTCCAACATAAGTATGATCAACGAACCTTTTTTCTATACATTGTTTAACGGATCATTTCCAAACGAACTTATAGCAAGATCTTTTCCCACAACATGTTGTACATAAAGTTTCAATTGTTATTTAGCTTTTGTGCAAGACGGACATTTTCCATAATGAGTATGCAAAACAAAGTCGTCGTGAGAAGCGGCTGCTGAGTATATAAGGAAATCAGAAACTATTATAAGTGAATAAAGCAATTTAAAAAGATGACAGATAATAAGGATGTTTACTAAAAATTGTCGGCTGCCGCGTTATGTAAAGAATAATCGAAATTGAAGAAAAAGATTGTAAATGTGTCTTGTGAAATTATTCGAAGCGCTATCTACGTGTTCATGAAATGGCGTAAAATAGCAAAAAGTATAATGAAGATACCTCTGCCTTGTTTGAAACTGTTCGAAAAACGTAAAAGAAAGAAATGCTTGGGCGCAAGAAAATATCGATCGCACAATTGAGAATATAACTTTCCCCGATAAATTTTCCTTCTTGCTACTAAATATAATTATTTAATCGATTTATAAAATATAAAGATTTTTATATAATGAATATATATGTGCTATTATGGAAAATATGCCCCGGAAATGCTAAATAATTATCAACGACAATGGCGATTGGATGATTTATTAACATAGAAACGTTTTATATTGTACTATATATATGTATAACCTTATATATGAAGGATCGATGAAAAATGTGTCCTAAATTAAAATACATCGCTTTACTACTACCGTTGTGATGAAGTAAAAAGTTTGATAAACTTGATGACATGGCCGATTATATATTTTTTCGTGTTTGCGCGTCTTATGACTAAAACATCGCGCAAGATGCACCGTTTATATATGCATCGATATAAAACTTTAGCTGCCTTCGTCACATCGAGGAGAATATTTAGCCGAAGTTTCGCGAACTAAGTAATGTCTTGGCGGAATATCGAGTATAAATACGCCCATAAATAAATATTGATATCATCGTACATCATTGGCGAGTGTGCTATTGAACATTTTTCAGAGCTTTATCAACGCGCAAAATATTTCCACGCACTCGTCAATTATCGGAGACCGTAAGAGCGTAATCGTCAATATTTTCTCAACGTTTCACAACATTTGCGCGGGTAGAACGAATATCAACTTATATAATCCCAGATATCTCATCATTCTCGCGAAGCAACGGAAGTTGCAATACTATTCACCATGATCGCTCGACTGCGATGTTGCACTCCTGCAAAAGGCGAAACAGAGTACGATGGAATTTTTATCGAGTTCCAGAGTAAAGTAAAACATTGTGCGATGAAATAAAAATAAAAAAGATTAAAAGGTAAAAGTATCGAAAACTCCGCGACTTTGGGCAAATCGTGAAACGTCCTACGTTACGTGAGAACTACGTCTAGGAAAGCGACGCGAGTCTACGAAGAATCGCGTAGGCGCACGAATTCGCGTGCATCGCGCAGACAGAACGGTGGAGACGAGCGGGAGAGCCGCGCGCGTTTGAGGAAGGAAGGAGAGGGATGGGTAGAATGCGAAGGCGTGCGAAGCGGAATGACATTGTTTGCACCCGTGACGTCACTCGTAATTGTAACGAACAATGAGAGGCGCAAGTGTGCACGCGTGCATATGCTCGCGCGAGCGGCATGGGGTCTAGGATTACCCGACGTCAGCGGCTATAGAGGCCTGGGTAAATAGAAAAAACGCCATGGCGGACAGTCTCGGTTGTAGGTTGAAGAAACCGTGCGTATAATTAGGACTCAAGTGTACACTTTAACTGTAACAGATAACATTATAGTTTAATTAATTGTTTACGATCGTCTCATTTCTGCGGTACGGAGGCGTTTTATCTTCCAAGTGTATTTGTGTGTGTACATTTGTTCCAATTTTTCTTAAATTTTTTAACTATTGTCGGTTAGTCTTGTATTGGTTACTTTATTGTTTATTTCTTCTTAATGCCTTGCGGCTTTGTATAGCTCCCGGTTTATACATACGTTTGTTAATCATTGTTCATTATTTCACATCATCTTATCTTCTCCTTCATGCTTCATCTTATCCTGTTCCTTTCTTTCCCTTTCTTCTCGGCTTGTATCTCTCCTTATTATTTTCGGCTCCTTAAAATTAAACAAATCTTCAAATCTTCTAATGTAACCCATTTCCAGAATCTCTACTCTCTCACATTTCCTAATTAAAACGTAATTAAAATAAAACTGGATGATTTGTATAGATGATAAATTATTTTTATTGGCAAAAATTATGTTGTAATAACTGCGGAATTGAAAATACTCGTCAAGGTGTTATTGGTTTATAGTTTTAAAGTTTCGGAAAAATTTGTTTTTTCCCCATTTTTCCACGGATTTCTTCGATCTCTATGCCAAAGGTACAAAAATTCGTTTAGAAAAATTCACGTATATTCAATTAAAATCTGCTATATTTACTTTTTTCCGTTAAGAAAATAAGAAACCAAAAAACTCTGCGGCAAAATGAAGAAAAAACAGGTTTTTCCAAAACTTTTAAAACTATAATAAGTTGCTAATAAATTATACTAAATGTCTTAGGCTTTGTATTTTTTAATAAATTAATTCTGTTTTGTCAGAATCGATCGAGGTTCTGATGGACGAGATACGTCTCGATTGAGACCGACGCGAGACGAGTGAATTTAACTCATCAACAAAGCTGAGCAAACCGGATCCGCGTTGCTCAGTCGCGAAGAATAACATCGCTAACACTAAGTTATGACCTTCTTCATAGCGAATTACTCTCACGAGATGATAAAAACAAGAATTATGACATTGCCTGCAAACAGAGATTAAATATATATTATTGTCGGTGTATACAACATTTGTCACGCCACAAAATCACACAAAACTGAGGCACGACGTTGTTACGCGGGGGGTGATGTTAGCTTGATTATGAAACTGTTAACTGTGGCTGAAAAGTCTGTAAACACCAATGTACATTTAGATCGGCGGAATGTTCTCAGAATGTTCTCAGATTGGTGCTCCGACAGATACGCCGATCACGCCATGTCCTGTCGGAGACTCTGATATGTGATCTCCATGATTTGTGATTTCCATCAGACGGTAAACAAAATTTGCAACATTTTGCGTCTGCAAGACAGTCCTCATCATTTGTCGATGAAAGGAGACTTTTTGACGGGAAAATAGAACGAGTAGGAGGAGGGAAAGAGAGAGGAAAAGCAGTTGAGAGACAGACGCGCGTTGCACGACAGCTCGATCGTCGGTGATTTCGTGACGATATCAATTTATCAACAAGCACGTAGACATGCGACTAACGATTTCATCCAGCCATAATTTATATTCCAGCTGTATTCCGCGATATGTCATTAAGTATACATGCCGTCTTTAAATTAGCTTTTTTAGAAGGAACCCTTGGACAAACGAAAATGTGGTCCGGAATGTCGCGCATACACACCATCCAGAAATATAATTTCATTAATTCGTGTGTAAAGTTTTATCTCGCCAAGTGTAAAATATAACGAAAACGATTAAGCACGTCGCACGGAATTCGGGATACTCCACGATAAGGAACAACGTGTATCACCGATATCGCGAATCTCGGTAGTAGTGAATAACAGGTGTACTATTATTAAAAATTAATTGTGCGCGATGAATTGCGAGGTGCTACGATTGCGTGATGATAAATTACGGTACACACGAGCGTCCGTCTTCTTTGGTTCTCCGGTGGCAATTAATAGCCCGGTACGTCGTTTAGATGTGCGATATGAACAATGAATGTGTTGCGAGCGCGTTGTGAGATTTCTATTATTTCTGCCTACGGAGTGCAAAATTATAAAGTGACACAATTAACTTGTCTGCAGTAGCGCACGATCATCGTAATTTACGAGCGAGCTGCACGGAAATATATTTACTCCCCTCTACTTATCATAGCTTGTAACGTACGACGCAGATTAGAATCGTTGCGTGTTATTATTTCCCGTCGTTGTTTGACAGGAACGTATATTCCCGTCGTTTGGCAGAAACATGAGCGCTCTTTTTTTCATAAATAATGCGCACGAATGAAAGAATGAAAAGCCGGCTTGTGCCAGAGGCCAGGGGAGACCGGGGCTAAAAGTCACACGGGTTAGTTGTCATAAACCTTGTATCTCACTTAATAAATAAAGGAGCATATTCTTCTCTATAGAGTAGATTGCTGGTATCGTGTTAGTTGGATATACGAAATGGCTCATGGCTAACGTATTGCATGTCGTACTTGCGAACACTTTATCGAAATTGAACATGGTGAGTAAATTCTTCTTGTCTCCATTTTTGTTGTTCCGTTGGTCTTGGTATTATTACTCGCTGTTTCTCTAGTCATAAGAAATATTGTAACTTTAACTAACTTTTCTTATATTTAGTTAACCGTTATATGCAACATTGTTTAGAAATTAATTTCTAAACAATGATTGAATAATAATTGAATTATTTCTTTGGTTCAAAATAACTGTTCGGGGTAAGTTGATTCAAATGAGGTGGCTTTGACGCGGCATGGATTACCGAATCTTGTTCGAGTCGAATTATTCGGTTAGATTAAGAAGAAGTCATGTTCATAAATGTAAAAATTTCATATAGATTTTAGTTGTTTCTTTGGTTACTGTGTCTCGAAAACGCAAGAAAATACACAATGTAATTTGTTAAAGTTTTTGCTTATGTATTTTTCATTTATTTTGTGTATTTATCACTAGATCGTGCTTATATTCAATAATTGCAGAACAAACGATGAGGTACAATTTAGGTGAATGGTACTCGTTAGGCAACTATTCCCTATACATTTTCTTTCGTTAAAATATGAAAGACATGTGACAACCGACCCTGGATATGAGGTCAGTTGTCCCATTTGCACGATTTTGCTTAGAGATAAATAACTTTTTTCGGTGTAAGAGGCTGTATAAGGAATATATGTCTTTTTATAAATATAATATAAAATATAAGATTAATATTTATTTTCTAAAAACTAAAAAAGGAATTACATTAAAGAGAATTACATTAAAATGTGCACGATATTATGAAATATTGCATAAATCCTTGCACTTTCATCAGTATGTGAAAAGTGACAATAAGTCTCGTTGTCCCCTACGACATTAGTCACTCTGGGTGTGCAAGATTTCTCTGGCGCCAAACGAGCGCGAGATTTGCATTTTGCTCCGCAACCCCGCGCGTTCTGCCGTTGAAAATAGCGTGCGATGCGCTACTAAGCAGCGAGATAATAGAAGGTATTTTTGTTGGAAGACGCAAAGTTGCGTCGCTGTTTACTCCCATCATTGTTATCGGCACTTACTTCGCCACTTTTCTGCTGTTTCCACAATTTTTCCGTATGTGCGCCTCCACACTCTTTCGGCCTCTTCGTGCTTCATGCTTCGTGCTTCGCGACAGTGACGACTTAATTGCGAGGAATCTAAATGCGATCTAAACACGAGTTCGGCTAATAGGTTTGAATGATAAGAGCGCGCGATCTGCGATCTAAAATAAAAAATCGAGATTTTGAAGAATCAGCCGTGCGGCACACTTTCGTGATCGTTCGGAACTTTTCGTCCTTCAGTTATTTGGCACGTGATAGGTCGCAAATGAATGGTACAGAAAAGAGATGAATACTCGTATAACGGATGCTGGAGATTAAAATGTTCGAGGAAGTCGTCACGCGAATTTAAAGCGTCTGAATGGACACGCGAATGAAATCCGAGGAAAGTCTCATTATGCGGATTCAGGACGTTCTGAAAAATAGAACCGAAAGTGAGACCGAGGACAAGTGACAGGGAGAGAATGGCCGAAGAGGAAGGTTCACCTCCCAAGAGAATACAGAGCGTGCGAATGCATCGGCATCTCTGAACAGCGAAGCGGAGTCTCTACGGTCAGAAATTCTGCCAGATTTCAACTCTATACCCGAATTGAAATTTTAAATTCTATATTAAGTCTTCAAGTAGAGAAAACGAAAATAAGTTCCCATTTGTAGTGCTTATTGTGCCCCTTTGATGTTATAAATGGGAATTGAAATCTCCAGAGTCTAAATTTAGTTCTATACAGAAAAAAATGAATCTTAAATCAATGATCTTATACATAAGCAAGAATATTATAATTTTCTTAGAAGATTTTTAGTCTTGATTTGACTGAATTTATATCGATGTAAGTATTACTTGCACTCAATATAAAACTACAAAAAATCTTCTGATAATATTATTCTTGCTTATATATGAGAAAATCTATCGTTGAATTTAAGACTATTTCTCTTCTGTGTATTTAACACTAAATCCATACTAACACTAAAACCATAGATATTAATTTGGCTTCTGTTTTCGGTTTTTGAAGAGTAATTTTGATATTATTTGCATTATTTAAGATTATATTCATATTCAAAATGATAAAAAGTTGAGAAAAATCATTAACTAATACAAGAATGTGTATCATCTATAGCAATTTTAAAGATTGCAGCCAAAATGGCACCATCGTCGGTTCTAATGTTAAGTCTTCAAGTGGAGAAAACTTTCAATATCTTCCCAATAACTTCCCATTTGTAGCATCGAAGGAGCACAATAGAAGATCTTCGGAAACTTAATGTGGAACTAAACTAGACTTAATGTTATAAGGACTAAAATTTCGACGCGGGTACGTCTGACAATGAGGATCGCGCCGTGTCTTCGTGGACGAGTCGGCGGGCGAAGAAATGAATCGCAGCCTGAAAAGAATGCGTCGAAAGAGACACCCGCGCGGATTTTATCAATAAAAAGTTTTTTTCTTTATTCCCCCTCTCCCCCAGAGAGTAAAGAGAAAAAAATAGGTCATCATAGGGAGGCTTTGTTTTCGCTGCCGAGAGTTTTCGCTAATCTCGCGCGCTGTCCATTTCGCGATATTTACTCCCGGGCCTCTCATCATTTGTACAGATAACCGCCTGCACGCGATATCTATCCTGTCGCTTTTTTTCCCGAGATAACCGAGCGTTTCGCGCGTCTGTTTTTCCGCGAGAGACGACGGTGTTTTCCGCGACCGACAGGCGGCCGACGGACGCGGAACCGATTTCTCTTACGTCAGAGTCCACCGTCAGTCCGGTGTTATCATCGCTGTCATGAGAGTCGCGCGATTGCGAGTTGCACTCGCGGAAAGCAGCGAATGGCACTCGCGAGAGAGAGAGACCGGCGATAACGCGCGCGTTATGAAGAGAATTTCATTTGCAGAAGAAAGACAGAGAGAGAAGACGAAGCGACGAGGCGGACGAGCGTCCGGAGACTGCGGCGGCGAGGCGCTCGACGAGGAGTGACGAGGAACGACGGCGGCGACGGCGGCGGCGGCAGCGGCGACTCTCGATCGGCCGCGGGAGGAGGTGGAGCAGCGACTCCGACGAAGATGATGTTCGGTAGGGTCAGAAGAGAGGAGGTCTTCTCCGGCAATGGCTGATCGCTGTGGCCGCGATGCCCGCGGCGTTCGAGCCGCTCTTTCGCTCTAGGACGAGGACGTGGAGAAGCGTGAAACTTGCGCGACGAGAGTCTCAGCGCGCTCTCGCCGGATCCACGCGCTCGTGATCGCGATCGTGACGTGGTGGGCGGACGCGGAGCGTGAACGCGCGCGAGGATGAAGGGACCGTCCCTCGAGCCGCAGAACTAGGTGCGTTGTCGCGCGAGTGAGCCGCGGACGGTGTCGAGAGCCTCGCGCGAATCCGGTCGCAGCGAGCGGGCTGCAACGAGCGCGGAAGAGAAGCACGCTTTGTTGAGTGAACGCACGCGCGCACACGTTCGAGAGAGCGGGAGAGCGAGAGAGAGAGAGAGGATCAAGTGGACGCGCTTCATCACTTCCGTAAACAGTCCGACGAGCGAGGGTTAGTGAACGTGTCGACGCGAGTGCGGATCGCGATCGAGTGCGAATCGGTATCTTCAGTGGAAGTAGTTCGCGCTAAGAGTGCTTGATCGAACGAAAGCAGGGGGTGGTTCAGAGCGGAGCCGACGCTCGGAGTCGCTCGAGGTGATCGTGCGGGATAATCCCTCGGTCGCGAGGGGGTTCATGTGCACCGAAGACTGACGCGAGCTCCTCGTAGGTAGGTAAGAGCGAGGTGCGCGCTGTAAGTGAAAACAGACCATCCGAGCCGGAAGCGCTACTCGGACTTCGGCAACCAAGTGTGCTATCAATCTTTTTCTTCTTCTCTTTCTCTCTCTCTCTCTCTCTCTCTTGTTGATTTTCTTTTCTTTCGATCCTCGGAAGCTCGCACGATCGGAACACACAATGCCCTGGCTCGGAGAACCGAACTGATCGTTACCTCGATCGAGCTGGCGCGCCCTCCGGGGCCTTTCCTTCGTCGGTGTTGATATCGAACTTGACGAATAGAGAGACGTGCGATATGAGACATGAGATGCGACGGGATTCTATGACGGAGATCTGTCAGAGCGCTCAGCCCAGCCCGATGCAGATCAGCTTGGTGCCGATCGGCCGCGACTCGTTGAGCTTACTCGTGACCTTGGCGATATCGTGCGCGACCTTGGACCCCGTGTGCCAGGTGACGCTCGCGTCGTAGCACGCGTCCGAAACGTGGAAAAGCCGTCGCTCTCGAAACAGCCCGATTCGGTTCGCCGGGGGTACGTCGGAGGGAGGCGGGAGAACGAGGAGACTGAAGAGGAGGACGAGAAGAAGAAGAAGGAGGAGGAGGCGGAGGTGGCAGAGACGAAGGAGGGCTGATAGCGCCAAGGAGGAGGAAAAGAGCTTCCTCCTTGACGCGTTGGTGCGGACGAAGGGGGCGCGAGAACGTGTGTTTGTAATTCGGCGTGGCTGCCTTCGAGAATGAGCGACGGCGGTCATGCCGTGTAATTCGAAGGTGTACCACGCTACCGTCGCATCGTGCACGATCGTCGCCGTGCTGGTCCTCCTCGTCGTCGTCCTCGTCGTGGTCAAGCTGTTGAGACGCGGCAAAGTGCCATCGCCGGAAAGATGAGTTCGATCGACTTCGACGAGGTGCTGGTACACGTGGGAGAGAAAGGCCGATATCAGAACATCATGTACTACTTGCTGTGCATACCCGCCACCCTGCCGGCCGCCTTCTTGGCGTTCTCGCAGGTAAGCAATGTCGGCAGAGCGCGGCCGCGAGCTTCGTAGGTACACGGAGAAAAATATTATTGTACTACGATAATTATTTTGTTTTTTTTTTATTCTTTTGCGTAATGGCAATCTTGAATAGAGAATATTTTCTTGATAATAATGTTAAAATGCACTCATCACAAATATTAGTAAAGCTCATTGTCATTTATTAAAAAAAAAAAAAAATGTGTTCTTTTTTCAAGAATATTATAAATCGGAGTTTTAATTTTGGTGTTTTAATTTAATATTCTTGATTAAAATACGAAACTTACTATGATTCAGAATATATTTGGAATAAATTTGATACTTATGATGAACTGATGATATACTTGCCGATATATAAACTTATAAAATATTTGAAACAAACAATATTTATTTGAATACAGTATATATTTTTCTGTGTGTACCACTGTACAACACATTATCGGTCGCGGGGATCGTTGAAACGCGGATTTGGTCGCTATAGTTTCGAATAGTAATAGGACATTGAATGTGAAAGATCGAGTAGGAAAAAGAGATATTTTTTTTTCAATGGGAAAAAAATATCTAAGAAATAAAAAATATTTATTCGATGAGTACTACACTGAAAGAAAAAAATGCTACAATCTTAATATTACTTACTTAATCCAAGTAAAATAATTATCCCAATATTGCTTAACAAATATTTACTTGAATGTAGTATTTTTTTCTTTCGGTGTAATAACATTTATTTATACAAAAATACATATTTTTACACCGGGAATAAATTCTTTTCAAATAAGAAAATATATATTTTATTAACCTGTAGCTTTTCATGTGAAAGCGGTTATTTATTCTTTTTAAATAAGAAATTTAAATTTAAGTGAATATATTGTTGATACACACCGAATAAATATTTTTTAATTTTTTAAATGTTTTTTCTCTCTGTGTACTTTAAATATAATTGTGTTTAAAAAAGTTCTTGCCCGCTACTCCGAAATATAATAGACTGAAAAATTATTATTGAATTAGGGGACACACGAGTTTAGATTATGTTTAGGTTGTTACACATCTCTTCTTTCGACAGCAAACACGGTAATATAACGAACAATATGTCGCTTACAAATCATTTGATGAAAAGATTCAATTGTCCCCGGGGAGAATCGGATTGAACAACATTACGAAATAATAAGGAGTAGATGTATGAAAGTAACTCAATATATTTTCAAGCAACTTTTTTGGGTTTTCGAGTTTCGTGTTACTCGTGGACTCTCTCGAATTACCTGATCTCAATTAAGACTCGCGATTACGAAACAGGTGTTCGTGAGTGCCTCGCCGGAACACTGGTGCAGGATACCGGAGCTGGAGAATCTGACGGATTTGATGTCTTTGGAGGACAGAAAGGCTCTGTCGCTGCCATACTCGGTCAAGTCTGACGGCAGGAGAGTTTACTCCAAGTGTCAAATGTATGACGTGAATTATACGGAGATCATCGACTCGTGGTTGCAGCGTGCCAGTCTGCATAACGCCACCGATGATGACACTTTCACGTCTACCACGTCTTCGTCGTTTCATCCGACGACTCGATTGCCGTCGCCGCCGGTCAGTAGCCCCGATTGGCCGGTCAGCGAGTGTCGATACGGTTGGAACTACGACACCAGGGATTACGATAGCACCCTTGTGACCGAGGTAAACTCGACTTTCTCTCTTTCACCGAAGCGACACGCTCATATTCGCAGGGGAAGCACGATAGCGATCGTATACGCTTCTGGCACTGTCGAGGCGATTCATTTCCTGATAATAAGGCATTCGAAGCATTCATGTCTCGTGGTGCAGTGATAGCGAGTGGGGCAATAATAGTTGTTGAAAAGAGATGGGATCACTTAAAAAAAAAAGAAAGCGATCTAAGCGTCAATGTTAACTTCTGTTTTGTGTGAGAGAAGTGCTACTTACACTAAATAATAATCATGTCAATTGCACAATACAAGAAGGATATGATTCAAACCGCTGAATTTCTTTAACAAATTAATCGAATTATGGGAATCTATAAGTATAGTGGCCATAGGGCATAATAGGATATGATCGATAATTTTTTAGAGATGCGTGTAATTAAATGTTCTGTAATAATTACTGTTAAATGTCACTCTGTTAGAAGTCACTTCATACATATATTACGTGTTCTAAGTAACTTTTGAAAAGTTTTGAATGTTAATGTTAGGGAAATAAATAAATTTTGTATCCCATTATGCCTCGCATAAGAAGCATAATGAAATTAATGCACGCTTTCAATAAAATAATAATTTCGTCCTTTTAAACTATTCTTTCGTTACAAAACTTGTGTTTTTCTTATAGAGGTTAGTCCAAAGAATATTTTGAAGTAAAACCAAGTTGATTTATTTATTTTTAATATGTTTAAAACATGTTTAAACCTTAATATTCCTATTATGCTCCGGGTTCCCCTAGTATAATCGGGGTACGTTTTGTGCTTTCTAGTTTTTCTTTTCTTTAACACACGTGCAGCTACTTGTTTTATCTCGAGGTTGCATTCTAAATTTCTTGGAGTGAAATCTCACCCAAAATTCAAAGCTACAGTGAAAATATCACCATTGTGAATGTTTCATTCAAGCTCAAAACGTGGATTCTGACACTGTTTGGGCGAAAGTTTCAATCGATTGGAGTGAACTTGTTCCCGTGACGGTGGAATACATCAGATTCACTGTTCAGTTTCGGGTTTCACTCAACGATTCAATATGGAAAATTTACTCCAAATATGGGTGAAAGGTTACTCAAATTCCTGCGACTCCATGGTCATTTTTCGAGCGGAATCTCTCTTTAAGAAATTTAGATGATAAAAGAGAAATCATCTTGCGTCCGCAGCGATTCGAACGTCTCGTTAAGCGGTAAATTAATTCACGTAGTTTCATCGATCACATCGAAGGCCTCCCGTATATTCTCGATGGTATCACAGAATCAGCAGGCACTCATCTCGTAGACGACGCGGAAGGAGAAAGAGACGATTCTTGCGCACGCGCGCGCGAGTGGGCTGCTCTAACGTAATCTCGCGTAAAGTGTGCTCGACGATTTGCTTAATATTCCTAGACGCATTAATCATCGCCGGTGTGTTTTTTCCCTGTCCAGTGTCGGATTTCACGACCCGCTTTGCCTTGGCCTTTGTCTTCATGGTGTGCACCGGGGCTCGTGGTGCGTCGGGCGTGCGACATGTCGCGCGGTCCCGTTCGCGGAATGAAGTTACGTGTCTTCCTAATGATCCCGCGCATTCTACGGATGATCTCGACTTTCCGTGAAGTATTTGCCGGCGATGACGAGAATGATTGGCGCGAACGGATTAAACCGCGGAGCGCGGATTACGCGCGATTAGGCCCGATTAGGCGCGCTATCGTGGGACAAAATGTCGAACACAAAGTTTCTATATCTGTATTGAAAGAAATTCTAATTCTTGTTCTCGGCCTCATATATACCCTTTTTATGATTTTAACCACAAAAATAGTAGTAACGTTATGTACGTGAATTTATTATCATTGACACTATAATAATAACACTTACTAGAGAAATATCTTTCCTGATTATAATTCTTTCACTATAATAATTAGATAATTATAAATACCACATTTTTTCTTTCAGTATACGCGGAGAAAAATAATTTGCTGACCCGGTAAATTTGTATGTTGTCGCAACGAAATTTGTCGGTTACTATGTCAGGGTAGCAAAGCGATTTAAGAATATTGTTAAGAATACTAATCACTATTTTTTCGTTAGATTATTTTACTGAATCCACAAATTATTTTACTATAAAAACAAATTATTAAATGTAGGGAAACATTACTTTATTCTAACAGTAAATTAACTTATCCCGACGACAGATTTATTTAGCAGAATTTTTCTTTTCTGATAACAAAGCTATTCTACTGCTAATTATGAATCATTCGCTAATTTGGTTACGCTAATTAACTAAATTTTATCGCTGTCGATATTAATAACGAATAGGCAGTAGCGATAATAGTTTTGCTACAACAGCAAAATAATTTTTTTCCGTCGAATCGCGAGAAGCAATTTTCAATTCTATTTCTTAGATCTTGTGCTGCCCCTAGCAGCTTACATCTTCGCACATACCGCAATTGTTTTGATTGTTACCGCAATCGAGAAATTTGCGACAGTGGGATGAATGAAGAGAATGAAGAGAATCAAGAGGAGCCGGTGTTGTCAGAAATTAATGATAATATACGATAATGACAATACGCGGATATTCTTACGAAATTACCGATGGAAAAGCAATAAGAAAGACGTCGAGTATTCTTTGATTTTGCCGGAATCATTAAGGAAGACCATGTCGTAAGTTAACGCGCAAGCACGCGGCGCAATTTTTCCAACGTAACGCGAGGTCAAGAGGGCGTCGAATTAACATCTTCAACTAGCAGCCGCCACTGTCTGCGGGCCTACCCTAAATGATTCGTCACATCCTCCGTCTGCCGGGTCATCTTGTTGAAACGAAACCTCGCGAAATCTCGCCTCGCCTTCGTCATTGTCTTAACGGCGAATTTCGGAGATTGAGCCTCCGCCCGCCACAACGCCAAACGAGATTCGAGGGGACACGAAGCACGCGATTTTTCCTTGGAATATAGATCGTGACAAGTCGCGTTGGTAAATGCAAACATGGAACACGGGCTCCGTCTTGCTTCTTCAGATTATTTCGTTCTTTCCGTCAGTAGCGTGCCTACGAGTTTGCACTTCGTTTTCGTTGCGAAACGACGCATTCAGAAGATGACGCGAATTAAGTCCACGTTAATCCGCATCAATGTAACACCGAGTATCGCATTTCCGAAAGAAGTCACGGGAATTCCTTATATGTATGCCGTATATTTGAATACTGAAGAAAACAACTTTACAACTGGGACGACGGATAGGCCTTGCGGTCACGTGGCGGCGTCGTAAGTGTTCATTAAGACATTATTGTCCATTAAGGCAGCGGGGATCACGATACATCGGGTCGAGGATCTAAGCATGTTTTTCCCCCTACTTTTCCGTCCAATTATATCGATTTAATCATACTGCGAGGATTTTAATTCCATTTGCAGCATTGTACGTGCATCAACTTATCGATTTACACGATTCGGTAGGTTAGAATTCTATTTAAAATACTTTCCGTCGTCAACAAAACTGTTGTTTAATAATAATAACGTCGCGATGATCGACAATCGAATGTACATTATTGTGCGCATTTTTCGCGTAAAACTGCGTCACGATCTCAAAGCATTTCGATTAATACGCTGTTAAAATTTGAGAAGATTCATAAGAAAATTAATTTTCCGACTACCTCAACTACCTCGAATCGAAATCTAACGGCGACGCGGGTAAAAGCTTTATCTCGAAATCGCATATTGATCATATTTATTCTGCGTATTTAGTACCGCGTTTATTAATGATCACCGAATATTCGTATTTATGACGCTGATTCTGAATAAATCAGTATTATCACATACTTCGCTCGCGCTCCTCAAAATATCTGATAAGCGGAACATTAAGCTTATTTAGGCGATATCGCGTTCATTGTATATTTGCTCGCGCTGCTTCGCCCTCGGACGTGTTTGTATGTCCCGTCGTTTTTATTCACTGCGATCCGCGATTACATGAATTACAACCCTTGCATTTCCGTCCGTTCAATTAATCATCCGCGAAATTTATTCAAGCGACGTGAAATATGACGAGCCGAATTTAGCCTCTCCTCCGCAGCGGGATTTAATTTAATGCGATCTCTGCGTGGAAAATAAATCTCGTCAGTCTGCATGCGTGTCGTGCATTATCGAATTCGCGAATTTAAACGTAGTCGGCGGGCTGAATATCAACCGGGGAGTCGTTATTGCTGCGAATTACTGCAAATTTGTCGCCTGTGAACGGAATAAAAATTCGAAGATCCGAATCGCGCGGGCCGAGTGACGCCGCGGCGGGCGCGTCGATCCATCCGTCGACGTCACCGTCAACGATTCATCCTGCGGGCCGAAATTGCCGAGGAAATTGCGCGAGGTGACGTAGGCGCCGTTTCCCATCGACGCGACGGATTTCTAAGATCTCGCGCTCGCTGATTCACGCCAGAACTAAAACGGCCGAGAATCATCAACAGGTGAACAAGGTTGATGAGCGACCGAGTGACTGGCCGATAGGTTGCAGCTCTGGTGGCGTCAGCAATTGCCGACCAATTTACCTACCCCCGCATCCGGTCATGTGATATGTCACATCAAACGCCTCGCGCAAACTACCAGCTCTCTTCATGCAGAGGGTATATGTTCCTACGTACTTAGCCGCTGCCGGATTCAACGTGACAAGCTTCCGTTTCTTTTTTCTCTCCCTCTCTCTCTCTCTCTCTTTCCCTTTTCTCTTCTTCGCGTTTCATCGTTTGCAAGCCGCCCGTTTCCGAATGAGTCGCATCTTTTACGTACCCTTCTGTATACTTCTCTTTGTTAGACCTTTATGAATGACGTGTCTGAAGCGTTTCTCGAGAATGATTGATTTCGAGGATTACTACTTAGGTCCGGTTTTTCATTTTCTAGTTAACTTGTGACTTAGGCTTAACTCGACGATAACGTAAAAATTATGTTTTTCTATTCATGAAATCATTAATTTTAATCATTAAATTTTAAAAGTTACCACTACAAAACCATCAATTAATGATTAAT